GTGGGGGGGGGGGGGGGGGGGGGGGGGGGGGGGGGGGTTGGATCCGAACTTAATTCTATTTATTCCAATTACCCATAATCCGTGATTGATGAGGTTAATAGCGGTCCACTCTAATTACCATTTTATAACGTCGTCGTTGTATCTCTGCCTTTGATGCGCACCCACATCAATATTGAGCAGTTTGTTAGTGTTATTTTATGCTCCCTGTGATGCCTCAACTTCTTACAGATATCTTTCATCTTTGTACATTTCAGGACTATCAACATATTCTCCCCTATCATGGGTCAAACCAAGATTTGGCAAAGTTGGGCTCCTGTAATCAAAGTCCGCACCAGAAACTAGAGTGGAAACTTACAAATGGGGTGTGGCAAAGTAACCAATTTGTCAAGAACTCGACAGATAAAAGGCCTGTACTAATTGATGTTCAAGGTCCAAGCTCACCAATTTCTATCCTTTGCACAAATTCCTTTTTCTACTTAGTGACAGTACATAATTTTTTGTTTTTGCATATTCACGAATATTGACAAAAATAAATCTACAACATGAAGATATGCTTTTGGTTATTTATTGCCCTTCTATTTCGTTATGCTTAGTTACTCTACGACACACATGAGGTGAACCAGATCACTGAATTTATTTCTCCATTAAATAGTAATTATCATTTCCGCATATTCTTTTTTCTCTTTGCAATCTTTGGAATATGTTGAAGTAATCCTTTTCCTTTATTTTGACTGACAGACACTACTGCAAACACAATACTGTTTAGCTCTGGGATTGTTGAACAATGCATAAGGCGGGAGAAGATCATGAAATTACTTGCATCTGCATCGACCGAAATAGAAAGCAGTTTACTAGATTTATCAATGCTCTTTGATTTGTGGGGTCCTCAACCACCAATCACGGATTCGCCTCAACAAACATTTGGTCCTTATTCTAGATGGTGCTTTAGTGACAATGAGCCTCGGCAGTCACTAATATATCCAACCCAGGAATTTTACTTCAAGAAACATCAGCTGGACCTTGTGGGGGATTTAGTCCCAAGTGACAGACTATCGCTTAATGGTACTGGAATTGAGTTCAAAGATATACTATCAGTTATTGATAAATTGCATTTGTTGAAGAACCCAAGCAAGTCAAGTAAGCAGACAATGCTGGTCCCGTACTTCGAGAGGTATCTGCTCTCTTTCTTTCTGTAGCCATTAACTTTGTCTATGAGATTTGTACTTCTGTATAAACATGACAAAGTTTGGCCTTTATTTCTCATGTATAAGAGGATGTTGAGTTAAATTTGTCCATGGTTCTTGTTTTTTGATGTCTATAAATCTCCTTAGGTCATCTTAGATGTGACAAGATAGTTAATATTATCATACCTACATTAATCACCTTACTTTCATTTCATTAAACAGGCGGAGAAGAGGAGCAAGCGCTAATGCAAACAGAGCAAAACTTGAAATTGTGAATATTGCTCCTGTGAAGAGGTAAGAATGCACTTTCACGTCAAGAAAAAAATCATCTCTTATTGTTTTAACCCTTCCATTTCCCTGATTGGCAAAACGACCTTTTAACGCCATTTTAACCCTGGTCGAATATTTACAGCTTAGGCAATCTTTTCCTGTTGAATAGTCGTTGTCCGTGTTAATCAAGAAAAGAAATATTGGATTATCATGTTAGGTCACTGAGATTCAAATTATGGCTTACTATTAAAGGAAGGATGTTCCCTAGTGAATCTCACCATGTAATTTCTGGCTTGGGTCAATGTTATTATATTAATATGGCTCTTCTTGCTGGTTAATCGGGTTCAATAACACCATATGATAAAAATCTTGCCTTTTCAAACTTATTCTCGACTTTGCTATCATGTCCATTTAAATGCAATTTTGCTTAGAGAGAAACTATTTGAAGAGTCGAAGACCTAAATACTAGGATTCTGTGACTGTCAAATAAATTCTGTGGTGGAGCAGTAAATGTACGTTGTATTCTCTTCTTTGTTTTTCCCTTTTCATTTGATAAATGTTTAGATGGTGGAATGGTAAAGAAATAAACACAGATTAACAGAACTGTGCGGCAACGAAGACGACAAAAGGGAAAAGAATTATTCAAAACCTCCCCCGTATCTTATTTCCTTGTATGGTTAAAGTTTTGTTTTATCTGAGTATTTTAATCAGTTTTTTCAATCCTTCCTGCAACTCCTCCAAATTAGGGGCTTTCTAAATACTCAGGAATTTGGCATATTTGGCTAAGCTTTTGTAGAAGTTACATTTTGGTAGGTTTTTAGTTCAAAAACTTATTTTTCTGAAATCAAGTCTTTGCTTACTCATCGGAAAAGTACTTTTTCATTTTAAAGCTTGGGCAAACATGCTCCAACCCTTCCTACCATTCAAGAAACTTAATTGTCTTTGTCCTCATAGCTTGTGTGATTCCTTGTGTTGCAGTCCCAAGAAAGTGAGGGATAGAACCATGCAGAAAAAGAAAACTAGTAAAAAATCCGGTAAAGAGAGGGATCTCTATTCTAACAGCTACCTCCACGCTTGTGAAAGCCTTCTTTCAATAATGGTCGAGAGGAAGCAGCGGGGACAAAGTGCAATCCTTTCACTAAAGAAATCTGGTCCTGAACTACCTCAGCTTCTGACCCAAATTTCTGCTAGTATTGCCGGGACAGGTATTGCTGTTCTTTTCTCCGTCATCTGCAACATCGCGTGTGGTCGGGCACCCTTCTGTGCCTCTAAAGTTTTGACCACCGGAGTGGGCTTCGGATTAGTTTGGCTGTCACGGGCAGTCAATAAACTGAGGGATACAGTGAGCTCTATTAGCAAGAATTCTGGCAAGTTGGGTATGAAGGAAGAGGAAATCACGGAAAATCTCGATCGTACTTTGAAGGATGTTTATTTCAGAGCTGCTGCGTTATTGGCAATTGCTATGCTGAAGTTGGCATGATTCAAGAGTAGAGTGCCATTTTGGTTTGAGGGTCGATGTAGATAAAGAATAATCACAAGTGTAAAACATGAGTCTTAGAACTTAAGCGACGCTTTTTTTTCTTTGGTAGTTTGATTTTGACTGGTGCAGAGGTCAGTGTTTTGCAAGTAGATTGGGTTAATTACAGCAATTATCACTAAAATTTTGAGTACTTACACTGAAGTTATTTTCTTACAGTAATAGCCACCCAAATTTTCAATTGATAAGAGCAATGGTCACTGTTCACAAAAACATTAAGTCCTATGTGGTGTCGTAAAGTATCAACGCGTGACTAAATCTTTTATTTTATTTTATTGACTTGACATAATAAATAACGTCATTTGGCATGGATCAGTACTTATAGCCGTCGCATAAGATTTCAAGTTAATCAAACTAGGTAATCATTGGTGTAGTCATTAAAAACTTTAAAAATTTTGAGCATGAGAAAATAACTTCAATGACTATTGTCATAATTATTTAAAACTCTAGTGACCATTAGATGCAATATTGTTATACATTGTCGCATCATTACCACCCACACATCAATAGGTTAAAGTGAACATACTGGGATTTCTATAAGTTAAACCGTGTTAGTTTCAAGTTTTCAATGTGCCTATAGAATATTGAACCATGCTACATTGTCAGAAAAGTACCGTTTTAAAAAACAATCAACTTTTACATTTAGTTATTTCCTGCTACCAATACATCTATCAACTAGGATGTCAACATTTTCTTGCAAACTAACTTGATAAAAGAATATTAGCCTTCTTTTCCTTCTTTATTATTATTATTTCTCGTTTTATCATTTCAGCACTATACAAGCCACTTCACCAAGTAAATTTATAGCACGCTTCATTTGAGAAGTGTACAATTCATTATTCGCCTTACAACTTGCTAGTCACAGAGATGCTCCAGAAATGAGCATATTGCTTGTTAAGATAAGTGGACCATATACTAAAATATAGTCAAATATACGATAAGGTACTTATCAAAATCATGCTTAAAGCAGGTTCCAATATGAACAATTATAAATTTTGTTAACAATTTAAATATTACAGATTTGACATAGCAACAATTCAAGCAGTGTCCCGTCTAGATGGTAGATTTTTTTTCTTGACAAGTCCTCCGATTTGGAATTTTGTGCTTATGTAAGTGGTGGTTTTTTATTTCACTAATTAGCAACCCTTAAGAAGAATGACATTCAATAAGAAGTCCCCGGACAAGCTAATGTAACCATTCTAGGACACAAACCTTCATCATGCAAATAACGTCACAAATGAATCTTCATTTTTAAACCTCTTCTGGTGAACAAAATTAGTCGAAAGGAGGCGGCCTAAAAGCCTTGTATTTGCATCTCAACTTATGACTTTTGAAACAACACCGGCACCAACAGTTCTGCCACCTTCCCTCAGTGCAAATCTTTGTCCTGAAAATAAGAAGAGATTGATTGTAAGGTCTTCTACGACAATAATGTTTTGAATAGTGATTTTTTGGAGAATGTATGGTTAAAAAGCAAGGAAAAGTTTTGGATTTACGTGCAAAATATTTTAGTGTTAATGTATGGTTAAAAATGAGTATGAGAAATAATGAGAGTTGTTTTAAAGGGAGACAACCAGGGGCCCATATTGCAGACATACACAGCAGTAGGGTATGCTCGATTATGTAGAACAGGACAATACAATAAAAAAGAATAAACTTCTTTTTGTGCGTGATTTGGAACAAAATAGGATGCATGATGTAGCAAGAAAATCTGCAATCACAATTATGTAGACAAGCACACAAAACGTACATGGTTCATGTTTGCAGAACACAACCATAAAGCGAACTTTCCAATCACCAGACAATACACAGGCAGACTCAAAGGCACAATAAATTACCAAAGATAGACATGCCAATCAACAAAATATTAGTGGGGGTAAAGGAAGAATTCTTTCCCCTTTTACTTTTTTTTTTGTTGGGGACAATATACTATCCACAAGTTCAAAAGCAGGTCGAAATAGAATCTTGTAAATGAGATTTGTGTAACAAGAAAAGACAGCAGTCTCCTTGTGTTAGCAGCATATTCCTGTTAGGAATTTGAATGTCACTATAAGCCCCTGTTTTGCCCCCATTATTTCACATTATAATTTTTCTCTCTTATTTTCAACCATACAATTTTTCATAAAATAATATTATACATAAACCAAAAACTTTTCCTTCTTTTTCAACCACACATTCTCCAAAAAAAAAAAAAAATACTATTTCAAAAATTATAATACCGAATAATGGGAGCCAAACGGGGTTAAATAAAAAATTTGGAATCTCAAACTAAAATCGTTGTTTTGGAGAAGAGAACAATTCTCGTCACTTGAAAATTAGAATTGCCAAAAGAAACCTTTCTCTAAGCAAAGAGTTTTTTCATGATTTTCTTCTTAAAAAAAGACCAAGTAAGAAGCAAACATCAAGACTTAAACGTGCTAGGAAAGACACTAGAAGAAAGCCAAAATAGAATAAAAAAAAATTTATTGGACGAGGAACTGAAAAAATAGGGAAACTGACATAATATAAGAAAACGACCTTAGGTGTGTTTCAGAGAAGATATCAGAATAACATGACTCAATACAATTGAAGGTATTTCTATTCAAGCACTAAGAAATCATAGAACACGTGCCCAGTATACATTCTTCAGCAAGTATCAAGCAGAATTTAATCACAATGACGAGGTATTCCAAAAACGCCTCATCGTGATTTAATTCCACTTTCAGGAAAAAAAAAATAATTGATCGAATAAGCAGGATCGGTAAGTATAAACTTTATTGTCGTTGAAATAAAAAGGGGAACAGAATGTGCATACAAAGCAATATCCTTTCCATGACTTATAAAAATAAGGATACACACCTGATTCTAGTGGAACTGGGTATATCAGCTCAAAGGTCGCTGTCACATTATCCCCAGGCATAACCATCTTAACATTTTCGGGCAACTCAACTTTACCAGTGACATCAGCCGTCCTCAAGTAGAATTGTGGCCTGTAATTTGAGAAGAAGGCTGTATGGCGACCACCTTCCTCTTTTGTAAGCACATATATCTCTGCTTCAAATTTTGTGTATGTTTTAGTGGTGCCAGGCTTTGCAATGACCTGCAACAACAAAGATCAGTGGAAATGGTTCATTGCCCTGATGATGTCACTTTTATCATGTAATTCCAAAGGCCGGACTGGCAGCACTTCTAAAAATTCATGTAAAAGCAGACCAGATCACCCATATATCCTGATAAAAATTATAGGGGTAATTAGCACAAAACATCCCTACCTTTCGATGTTTTTGTGTAAAACGTCCCTACCTTTCATTTTTTGGTGGATTACACCCTTACCTTTACATTTTTTTGCGCAAAACGTCCTTCTGTTAACTCTCCGTTAAAATGCTCCGTTAAATAAAAAAGGTAATTAGCACAAAAGGTCCCTACCTTTCAAAGTTATTGTGCAAAACGTCCCTACCTTTTATTTTTTAGCATAATTAGCAGAAAAGGTCCCTACCTTTCAATATTATTGTGCAAAACGTCCCTACCTTTCATTTTTAGCATTTTCACTCTTACCTTTCACCTTTCATTGCAAAAAAGGTCATTTTCATCCATTTTTTCAATAAAATGACGATTTTACCCTCCTATTCAAATAAAACAAAAAGAAAAGATGAATTACCAACTGCAATCATAATCCTTAAATTTTTAAAAAATTACAAAAAATCATAAATTCTCAACCACCACCATTTTCACAACCTATCAAGCTGCCAACTATAAATCCACATAATATCACCTTTCGGCCACCATGCCCACCGGACTCCACCACCGTAAATGTGGTTGTTTCGGACAGATTGGTGACCAATACTATGGAGGTGGATATTGGGGAGAGTGAGGCGACGCTGGTGGTGGAGTCCTATGTGTTGTGGTCGAAAAGTGGTGCTATATGGATCTATAGGTGGTGGCTTGGTGGCGTTGTGAAAGTGGCGGTAATGGAGAATTTAGGATTTATCTGTAATGTTTTGAAAGATTTAGAACTATGATTGCAATTAATTAATTATTTTTTTCTTTTCTTTTTGTTTTATTTCAATAGGAGGGTAAAATCGTCATTTTATTGAAAAAATGGATGAAAATGACCTTTTGCACAATGAAAGGTGAAATATAGAGGTAAAAATGCTAAAAATAAAAGGTAGGGACGTTTTGCACAATAATATTGAAAGGTAGGGACATTTTCTGCTAATTATGCTAAAAAATAAAAGGTAGGGACGTTTTGCACAATAACTTTGAAAGGTAGGGACCTTTTATGCTAATTACCTTTTTGATTTAACGGAGCATTTTAACGGAGAGTTGACAGAAAGACGTTTTGCGCAAAAAAATGTAAAGGTAAGGGTGTAATCCACCAAAAAATGAAAGGTAAGGACGTTTTCCACAAAAACATCGAAAGGTAGGGATGTTTTGTGCTAATTACCCAAATTATAGCCACCCCTTAGCATCTCAATAATAACTAAAGTGGAAATATGTGCACACTAAATTTCCACACAAGCAGTCATTGAAGAGTTGAAGTCTAGAAGCAGAATTCAGTGGATGTGCATCCAGGTAAATTACACTATAGAATACTACTATTGTGTTATAGAAAACAATCGGTGACACTGACCATTCCTCGTTGGATATCCTCACGTTTCGTGCCACGGAGAAGAAGACCCACATTGTCACCAGCCTAGGAAAAGATAAGATTTGTAATGAGTGCCACATAAAAATTCAGGTAAAGTAACTAGTAACTGAATCCCTTACCTGCCCATAATCCAAAATCTTCTTGAACATCTCAACACCAGTCACCGTAGTTTTTCTAGGATTCTATAGGACAAAAATGCAAGTCAGTAGCATAATAGACGGACTTCAGCATTAAAGAGACAAATTTAATCATATAGAAAATAAAATTCGGGCATAAAGTAGGATTTAAAAAGAATAATTAAGAAATAACAAGTTTGAATCGATGAGGAGGGAAGTGATAAGTAAAGCTGGATCAGGGCATCAAGAGCCTAAATCAAGACAGGTTTGACCACATCCAACCTGATCACTGCGCTAATCAAATACATGAAAACTTATGGGACCAATCCTTATTACGAACAGAAACTTGTAACGTCCAACTTGTTTTACACGCACTCAAATTTAGAAATTGAAAATTAAAATCTTAAGCAATCCGTGAAAGTAAACTAGCAAGTATATTAAATACCATTTAACTCATCAATCATTTATTATGATTCGACCAATTTCCTCCTTAAGATGAAAGCTAAGGAATGTAATCATGACTTGGAGCACCTAACTGCGACCTACTGATCTAGACAATTCTACTTTGCCTACCCGTTCCCTCTTCTCCTACTTCCCCCTATATAGGAATATTTAATAAGGAACATGGGGTTGACCTCATGTAAAAGAACAAGACCATTTTTTAGTTTCTCTTAGAAGTCAACTTCAGCTTTCCACTCTTGGCAGGTGCAGATGAAGAAGGTTTAAGGTCGATGGTGGAATCGGGAAGTAAACAAGTGGAAGTGTCCTCGGTGAATTCCAGCAGTAGAAATATGAATCCGAATAAATTAGATACCTCAATAATAGTATAGGTTTCATAGTTTGGATCAGTAGTCGTCCAAACATTAGAACCATTAACTTTATACCAGCCACAACTAAGATGACAAAAAATAAATAAAATCAATGCCATAAGAAATTGACTTCCAGATTAGGATAGTTTTGACCTGTGTAAGTCCCAAAATCTCCACATCATCTCCTGGTTTGATCACTCCCTGTTCGACACGTCCAGTGGCAACAGTACCACGTCCCTTCAAGACACCAAGAAAAGAGTGTCAAAATATAATGGCACAAGGACTGACAAGAAATTTTATCCTCATTATTATCGGACTGCATAGTATTTTAAAGATCAATTAGAGATATCATTTGACCAAAAAATGACGTAGCAACAAATTTAATATTGCAGGCTTGCAGCTATGTCAAGAAATTTAGAACACTAGAAGCGGGCTAAATAATCTATGAAGTATAATTAAATGAATGCCAGGAGATTAAAAAGAATAGAAAAGAGGCAGTGCTCTAGACATGAGGGCAGTTCATTGCATGGCGTAATCAATATATAAAGCATATCCAGTTTACCTGAATAGTGAAAACATCTTCAACGGGCATCAGGAAAGGCTTATCAAGTTGGCGTACAGGATCAGGAATGTATGAATCTACAGCTTCCATTAGTTTTAAGATAGCCTTTTTCCCTATTTCTTCATTTGTACCCTCTAAAGCAGACAGAGCAGATCCTCGAACAATGGGGATTTCATCCCCGGGAAATTTGTAAAAGCTAAGCAATTCTACAAATATGATGAGGTCATACGGAAAAATTACAGTTGCAATTATATATATGTATACTCAATAACTCAATATCAGACTCGAAATTTAGCTTACCTCGTAGTTCCATTTCCACAAGTTCCAGCAATTCAGGGTCATCGACGGCATCGACTTTATTAAGAAAACACACAAGCGACGGCACACCGACCTGCATTGAGAGTAGAGGTAAATCATAGGTAACAAAAATAAGGACCACAATACTGTACTTCCATAATGTGGTTTTCTGGAAATGTCAAATTTCATGTCATGATAACAACCTGTCGTGCCAGAAGAATATGTTCCTTTGTCTGCGGCATTGGCCCATCCGGGGCTGAAACAACTAGAATTCCCCCATCCATTTGAGCAGCCCCCGTAATCATGTTCTTCACATGATTCAAAATTCGAAGAAGGAACACATCAGATAATAATTTTGGCAATTATCAAGCACATAACAAATGAATGACATGTTCCACAAAACTATATTCAAATTGCATATGCAGTCAATTGGTCAATACCAATATGTTTAGCTAAAGGTTCCAAAGTTTCCTCATTGTTAACAATAATTTCAGATTTCTTTAAATTTGAATCTGGTGAGCAAAATGGTCAGATATGGTTTCCTTCGGAAAGTGGTCTTGAAAGATATGTTTGACACGGTAAATCCATGTGCGAGAAATATTTCTGAAGTCAGAGATGAATCTGAATGGGCTTCTTCGAGGGGAGGAAAAGGAAGAAGAAGCTAATTGGTACTATATAAGAAGTGGCACATCACCTTCTGGATTGCAGACGTGATATGATGAAGAAAGATATAAAAGGGTAGAGGAGAAATTTTTGGGATGATTGACATGAGAATTTTTCATTCAAGGTGCCTGGCCTCATGTATATCACGTAGATACTCACATGATCACAAGCCATTCTAATTCATGGAAATGGCAAGCCAAAAAATAAAAAATAAAAAAAATCAGTACATTAGAATAAGAACAAGTAAAAAATTTTACATCTCACTTTAACATAATCAGCATGTCCAGGGCAATCTACATGAGCATAATGCCTCTTCACAGTCTCATATTCCACGTGTGCCTGCAAAATCAAATTATACATTCCAAATAAAATCAAAGAAGCTGCAAGCAAAAATAAATGATAAATCTAATGGGGAAAAACATAGAGAAAATATTCCAACCGTGGCAATAGTAATTCCTCTCTTTTTCTCTTCAGGAGCTTTATCAATTTCATCAAAAGCAATGGCCTTAGCCTTCCCTTCTTCCGCTAAGACCTATATTAAAACAAAGAAAATGCCTCTCAGTCTCCACGTAAATACAAAAGACAGATACAATTTAAGAAGCCACAAGAAAGTAAAGTAAAATTTCAAAAACTGGCATTATAGAATGACCAAAAATCGCAGATATTCGTGTATTACCCTAGTGATTGCAGCCGTTAGGGTAGTCTTTCCATGGTCAACGTGTCCAATAGTTCCAACATTCACATGAGGTTTTCTGCCAGTATGCAATACATTAACTAAATTAAAACTGGCAACAAGTAAATTGTAATCCTGAATTCACCTTCCATCGTTTATTTTTTCCCCAGCCTCAATAAACAGAAGCTGTTTAGAACAATGCATCATCCTCTTCAGACATCCAAAAGAAAAAACAAATCCAAAGTTCATTACACATTGGTAGCATATAGTATCTAATCCAGAAAGTATTTCGCCATAAAAGTAATACAATTACGCCATTTGACCAAACGAGTCAAACATAACATGAAAGCGAAATGAAACAAGTAGAATCTTAACTATTATAAGTAATTTGACTCTCTACGGAATGGACTTCACATATTTACCCATGGGTAATACAAGTATAGCTTACGTGCGAGTGAAGGTCGCCATGGATCTCCACCAAGGGTTGGAAACAGAGGGGATTTCATTGGAAGAGATCGGCGATTCGGAAACTGAGAACGCCGAGGACGCGGCCGATACTCGGCAGCTGGAGGAGTATATTTGTGGAGTCAGTGTGAACACGCGCCTCGAATTAGGGTTTCGAAATGCTACAGAAGCCATTTCCGATGGGGAAAATTGTAGAATAACTGTGTGAGAGACCGGGGGCGCCGGGTGGCGGGGGGGGCCTGTGAGCTGCGTGAAGCGGGGTTTTGGAAATGCAGGGTTTTGGAAATGGAAACAGCTTCTAGACGACGTCGTTTAATGAGCTGGTTATTTTTGTGGATGGGCTTTATGATATCAAATTTACTCGGGCTTTCTAACATCCTGGCTGAATAAAGCAGTAATATGGCCCATCTTCACTTCACTCTGGCAAAGGAACAAAAATTGAGAAAAATTTAATTTTCATCCCGTCCCCCCTTGCCTCCCAGAAAATATTCTGCGGTTCGAGTAGTGTTGTAGTCATTGTTATTAAAAATACAGGATTCCTTCTAGTGGTAACACGATGTAAGCAATCTGACATCTGCCCAGTACTGAAAGATTAAGGGGAAGTGTTAGTTGCTTTAAATGGAAACTCCAAAAAACGACGACAGTAAAATTGAATTCTCCTTGAAGATGCTGAGTACTAACGGCTAGATGGTATTGTCATTCATTTTTGTACCCTATTGCTTTAATATCAATTTAAATTTATATGGGTAAATATGTGTTGGGTGGTGTTAGAGCTTTTTAATCCCAAAAGCTAGCTCAACAAGCGAAACTTTCACCCATGTTTATAAACTGATCACTAGCTCCTTTCACAATCGATGTGGAATAATCTCAACAATCTCTGTAAGTGGGACTAAACATGTATCTCCCATGGGTTGTTGCGCAGAGATTCGTTGATAACTTTAGCTCTAATGTGTTGGGCGTTCCTTCCACGATCGATATGGGATAACATCAACAATATAAACACTCAAGTAAGCCTATATTTGGCTCGTGTTTTTTAACGGTTTGTAAACACTAAAGTTACTTCTTTCAACCAAGTCAGCAATCTTTTCTTGTCGATGATATTGGCTTGGGTGGCACATTTCGAACATTGTACAAGTATTACCTACTTAACCTAAGTTCAATGACTAATTAAAGATATTAACCTAAGTTCAGTAACCATTATAACAATTAATTTGGTTTGGAAATGGAAACAGCATCTAGACGATGTCGTTTAATGGCTTTATGATATCAAATTTACTTGGCCTTTCTGACATCCTGGCTGTATGCAACAGAAATATGGCCCATCTTCACTGTTCTCTGGCAAAGGGACAAAAATTGAGATAATTTAATTTTCATCCCATCCCCCCTTGCCTCCCAGAAAATATTTTGAGGTTTGGGTAGTGTTGTATTGACTTATTAAGAATACAGGATTCCTACTAAGTTGTAACACAATGTATACAATTTGACATCCGCTCAGTGCAGGAAGGTGGAAAGGAGAAGTGTTAGTTGCTTTAAATGGAAACTTCGATAAACGACGACGGTGAAATTAAATTCTCCTTGAAGATGCTGAGTACCAATGACTAGATGGTATTGTCATCCATTTTTGTACCCTATTGCTTTAATATCAATTTTATTTTATATGAGTAAATATGTGTTGGGTGGTATTGCGACTTCTCAATCTCAAAAGCTAGTTTAAGAAGTGAGGTTTTTCATACTTATAAACTAATCACTAGTCCCTTTCACAATTGACGTGAGATAATCTCAACAATCTCCCTAAATGAAACCAAACATGTATCACCTGTGGACTGTTGGACAGGGATTCGTTGATAACCTGGGCTCTAATACCAGTGTTGGGTGTCCCTTCGACAAACGACATGGGGTAACCTCAATAATATAAACGCTCAAGTAAGCCTATATTTGGCTCGTGTTTATGAATGGTTTGTAAACACTAATGTTATTTCTTTCAACCAAGTCATCAATCTTTTCTTGCTGACGATATTGGCTTTTGTGGGACATTTCGAATGTTGTACAAGTATTACCCACTTATTTTCATATATTTATAGTTTAAACCGTTTATAAATATTTCTCGAACATTATTTACTTATTTTGATAGCACTTCATTTATTACTTTCAAAATAAGTATTTATATGAAGACAAGGTGGGCTAGAAAGATTAACCAACTGGCCATGTTACTATGTTTCTCTTCTCCACCTTGCAAGACACTCATCTTCTAGTATCTCACCAAACTATGAACCATTCATCTGCTTTTTCTCCATCTCTCTCTTGTGTCCATTCTATATATATTGCTCCGTTTCAGCCATTTTCATTGTTTTTGCATGGCTTCCACTTTCTTTATTCTCCAGATATTGGCCTCGAGTCATTTGTGTTTAGCAATTGATAATTCTTTATTTAATTTAACTTATCGAGCAGTTTTCAACTTTGGTGATTCTAATTCTGACACTGGAGGACTGGCTGCTGGAATAGCCTTCCCAGTCGGGCCACCCAATGGACAAACTTACTTCCTCAAGCCATCGGGAAGATTCTGTGATGGCCGGTTAATCGTTGATTTCTTGCGTAATAAACTACTCACTACTAGTCTAGTAATATACTCCTCGTGTGCCAATTTACTTGTATAAATCGACAAGTCCTTTTTTTTTTTTGGGTGTAATGCCTACTTTTCTTGGACAGGGGATTCAATGAATTTGCCACTCTACAAGGCCTACTTGGAATCTGTTGATGCACCGAATTTCCAATCGGGGTGTAATTTTGCCACTGGAGGGTCTACTGCACTTGCTGCCAAAGCCAATTCAATTAGTCCATTTTCATTTGGTATCCAGGTAGACCAATTCATCAGATTTAAAGCTCGAGTTCTTGCATTATTGGCAAAAGGTATGCAATCAAATGGACAACAGCTGCACATTTTTAATAAATAAATGGCGACAAGACTTCAAGAAATCGTGTCTCTTTATGTGTTATAATGGTTTTCTTTCTCACTTGCAGACAAAAGGCTAAGAAAATTTCTGCCTACAAAGAACAGTTTCGAACAAGGCATATACATGTTTGATATTGGCCAAAACGATGTTGATGCTGCATTTTTTTCAAAACCCGAGGATGTTATTGCTACAATTCCAACTATTTTGTTAGAATTTGAAACGGGATTACAGGTTTTTTGTTTCTCTTCTCTAAAAACTGAAAACTGAAAATTAATTCAAAATTGAAAACTGAAAAGCAAAGCGAATGTTTTTTGACTACTAGCAGATATTATATAATGAAGGAGCAAGGAATTTCTGGATTCATAACATGGGGTCACTGGGTTGTTTACCCAGAATTATTGCAACATTTGGAAATGATGCGTCAAAACTAGATGATGTTCAATGTGTCACTTCACATAACCAGGCAGCCATGCTTTTCAATTTACAACTACATGCTTTGTGTTCAAAGTTCCAAGGACAGTTTCCAAAAGCCAAAGTCACTTATGTGGACATAGTTTCCAAAAGCCAAAGTCACTTATGTGGACATCTTCAACATCAAACTCAACCTCATTTCAAATTATTTTCAATATGGTAATTGATAAACCAAATTATTTTTGCCACATTTCACTTTTTTTTTTGGTAATGATAGCATAAAAATGGTCTTTTTACTTTCTTCGACATCTCTAACAACATGTTTAATAAGTAATTCTGGACTAGACTAACTATGAACAAAATTCGGCCTTTTTTCTTATTTAGGGTCCATTTGATTGGAGTTCTGCTTTTGTTTTTGTTTTTTTATAGAACTTTATGATAAAACGTCTTAATTGGTGTTTGAAAAATAATTATTAAAAGAGTTTCCTCTTCTGAAGGAACTTTTACAAGAAGCTACATTGAATTAGCTTCTTTTAAAAGTTCTTCTAACTAGAAAAATCACATTTATAAAATTAATCAAACAGTTACAAAAACATTTTTTCGATCTCAAAAGCTCATTTTAATTTATCAAAAGTCATGTCAATCGGATCCTTAATGATGTCCGGTATTGTGTATCAAATATGTATAATACTGTGCAATAACATGTCTAGTAAGATGTGGGTTGTGATGCATCCTGATCAAATGTGAAACAGTGATGAGCCTGTCCATTGATCGACTCGAGGCATGGACCAGCGCAAATTGAGATAATGACAACCAAAGCCCAGTTAGTCAATATGCATGTGGAATGCAATCACCTCGAGTTATGGTAGATAGTTCACGCATTTAGAGTGCTTCGGCATCCACATGCTCTCTGTGCTGGTCTGTAGGATTCTCATTTGACTCATCTTGAAACACTAATTAAGGAGTAACTACTATGGATAAGATTTTTAACTCCCCTTTGTTACCTACCAATGTATATCAAATATGCACTAAGAGAACTCGGTTTACAGGGTTCAAACAGCCATTAGCTGCTTGTTGTGGATATGGTGGCCTTCCACTAAACTTTGATGCTCGAATTGCTTGTGGAGTAACCAAGATTTTAAATGGTACATTGGTGACAGCAGGGCCATGCAATAACACTGCTGAGTACATTAATTGGGATGGGAGCCATTACACAGAAGCTGCTAATCAAATCGTTTCAACACAAATTCTGTCTGGGAAGTATTTGGATCCCCCTTTACCAGCAAAAAACTTCATTTCCCATCACACTGCAACTTGCTACTGAGAACTTGCATCGTGTTTGGGTAGAGTGAAATTTACATTACTGACGATATCAACAAACCGAAAATAAAATGCTGATAAATCCTATATATTGTATTGTTTAGCTTGGTCCATTATTACTGTTGATATGTTAATGTTGACGGGCTAGATATTGATTGAAAAGGTACTAGTCCTATCTATCCACCTCTTTGGTTGTGTCGTGCGTTAATAAAGTGAGAGAGCTATGCGTTTTCGATCACTTTTTTCTCTAGCTGCCTCATTGCACTTTGTCGAACTAACTCTTTAGCCATATTTGTGCAGGAAATTAAGATAAATTCTTCAATTTACTCACGCGATTCTTAGTTAGAGAAACATTAAGAAGTCAGGATAATTGTATAACGATGCAAAATTTAAGAATTGTTATGTTACAAGTATATAATATTTCTCGTTCACCCGAACTCTTAAGTACTTGTTTGGTTTAGCTAAAAATCAAAATTTGAGTAGAATTTGATAGATGATGATAAAATGTATAATTCTCATTAACTATATGATCAAAAACGAATTTTCAAAAATGGACCAAAAAACTAAAAAAAACTGCATGATCTCAATAGCGACTTCATGCAGGTGAAGATTTGAGAATAAACAAGCACTCAATTTTAAGAGCTTATGATTTACACTCAAATGCAATTTTAGTTAACAAAGGTGAAGATTTTGCTAAGAAGACGCAATGACATAAATGGTTTCTTTGTCCTCTCTTCTACTCCTCTCATCTGATTCCCTCTTGCAGTGATTTTCTCTTTCTTCCTTTTTCTTCCCTAAAAAGAAATCAAAATTTCACCTTTTTTTCACTTACTAGTTAACTTTATTTCTCTTTTGAAGAATCATTTCTTTCTTGTTCCATATCGATTTTATTGCTTTATCTGTATTTTTTCCCATTATACTGCTAAAATTTCTGTGTATGAAAATTTTACATTGATTGTTTAAAATCTAGAGTGCGTGCCTTCATCTGTTTAGAATTTTGGCTGGAATTATTGGATGATGGAAAATATTGGCAGAATTGTAGGGCCGATTTCTAGCAAACACCAAGTTCAACCCGGGCTCAGTTTCACCTATTTAGTCGACACCACCAAGAATTGAGACAACTCCAATACCACCACGAAGGGCGCCCCACTTTCGGTTGCTATAGGTTGGGAAGATGATGTACAATAATATGCCCACTAACAATTAACCACAAAGGTCACAGAGAAGAGATGAAAACCGAGAGGTGAGTCTCACAAAGAGAGGTTGGGCATTCTTCCATTTGAGGCCGAGAGAAAGACAAGAATCTAAGCCAAGTAAATATCCAAACAAGGTAAGTTAGGTTAGGGTTATTTAGTGGACCAAACAAGGCTCGACTCAAATATAATGGGTTGGGCGCCCCACTTTCGGTTGCTATAGGTTGGGAAGATGATGTACAATAATATGCCCATTAGCAATTAACCACAAAGGTCACAGAGAAGAGATGAAAACCGAGAGGTGAGTCTCACAAAGAGAGGTTGGGCATTCTTCCATTTGAGGCCGAGAGAAAGACAAGAATATAAGCCAAGTAAATATCCAAACAAGGTAAGTTAGGTTAGGGTTATTTAGTGGACCAAACAAGGCTCGACTCAAATATAATGGGTTTCAAATTAATAACATAGCCTTCCAAGAAAATGGGACGAACCGTGAACAACACTATTAACAATAGTTTGCTTCGAACGGTCCATACGAATATGGATTGGATTGTCTCGATAATTGTGTTGATATACTAATCAATCATATGGCCAAAGCCGATTAATAATAAAACCGGGGTTACAATATAGCTCGGGGGGTCGTTTGACAACAAATTGCCTAACAAGAATAACATGCTGCTTGAGCGTAGCTGCACTTTACCTTCTTGGCTGGAGAATCGGAAGGTTTTGTTAATTTTATTTTTTCTAGTGTTTCATGGATAGTTGTTTGGTTTTCCATATTGTAATGATAGTTCAAACTATATAAGAACAATAATCAATTTGAACCCTTCAATGGTTCGTAGGGGAACCCTACCTTCTCTTATACGTCCTGCAATTTGTAATTGAATTCCTTTTGTATATTTTTTTTCCAGCTAATTCAATAGCATTTTTTATTGCTTCTACATTTTCATGTCCAATTGGAGTTAATTAATGGAATTAATTATGTGCTTTCGTGTCTAATTTTGAATGTTTTCATGTCCAGGGATGCTGAAGTTCTGAAATCTGTTACTCGAGTTAAACAATTAAAGGAATTGGGTGAGTAGAGCATTTACCATTGCTTAGTTTTCTGATTGAATTATTGTGATCAAATTATAAGTTGTCTGGTTGAGTAAATTATGCAGTCTTTGCTTATGATATAATTGGCACTTGCAAACTATGATTTTAGATTATCCATTTTTTAATCTCTTTTCTGCTTGAGTTTTTTGAGCCGAATTATCACGATTTGCATAATCTTACAAGATCAATAGAAATTGCTTTCTTGGTCTGTTATGACGGTGAATTCCATAGGACTATAAAATTAGAATGAAGATTTTGTCATATTCAGTTCCAGTTTAATGATATTGTGCGCTTTTACATTTTTCAGCTCAACTACTGGATACTGAAAGCAGAGTTTTGCCTTTGATCGTCACAGTGTCTGAGAGGGTTGGTTCAGATGCACCAATCAACAGCGAGTACAGTAGTTTAGGGGGGCGTAATTATGGAGCAAAAGGTACATAGATTCGTTTTCCATGATAATACAGAAAGGAAAAGTTTTTCCATTTGTCATTAGTTCTTACCCAAGCACTCTTCTCATATTCTCTCAGGTAGAGCAGCACTTTCTGAAACTCAATGATGCAGGATCATGGATAAAAGATTCAGCTTTGATGCTTTCCACGTGCAAAGAAGTTCCTTGGTACCTGGTAAAATTAGGTTTTGTTCTCCATGTGCTGACATGGGAATTCAAGCGAAAACCTTTAAGAACTTAATTTTTGGAATCTACCAAATTATGGGAAAAAAAATAAACTCACGAAATTTTATTAATTAATCCTTTATTTATAAGGGTTTACATGAAAATCTAGATTAAAAGAACTAAAATTGAAAAGAATTTAAATAAACTAAATGACAAAAATAGTATTAAAACTTTAAAAGCAGATTTCGAGTCCTAAACAAACTTACATTGGTAAAGTCCATCATATGTCACAACAAAGTAGTGATTTCAATCTTGCTCGTCGTTTTCTTTCTGAAAAAGGTATTATGGGCTCAAATTGGAGCTCGAATGCCAAATAATGTTTTTTCTCTTTTCAGTTCAACTGTTCCTCAATCCATTGTTCTACATCACCTCTGAGATCAGACTGAATGCACGCTATAGTCATGAATTTTTCTTGTTCCATATCGATTTTATTGCTTTATCTGTATTTTTTCCCATTATACTGCTAAAATTTCTGTGTATGAAAATTTTACATCGATTGTTTAAAATCTAGAGTGCGTGCCTTATCTGTTTAGAATTTTGGCTGGAATTATTGGATGATGGAAAATATTGGCAGAATTGTAGGGCCGATTTCCAGCAAACACCAAGTTCAAACCGGGCTCAGTTTCACCTATTTAGTCGACACCACCAAGGATTGAGACAACTCCAATACCACCACGATGGGCGCCCCACTTTCGGTTGCTATAGGTTGGGAAGATGATGTACAATAATATGCCCATTAGCAATTAACCACAAAGGTCACAGAGAAGAGATGAAAACCGAGAGGTGAGTCTCACAAAGAGAGGTTGGGCATTCTTCCATTTGAGGCCGAGAGAAAGACAAGAATCTAAGCCAAGTAAATATCCAAACAAGGTAAGTTAGGTTAGGGTTATTTAGTGGACCAAACAAGGCTCGACTCAAATATAATGGGTTTCAAATTAATAACATAGCCTTCCAAGAAAATGGGACGAACCGTGAACAACACTATTAACAATAGTTTGCTTCGAACGGTCCATACGAATATGGATTGGATTGTCTCGATAATTGTGTTGATATACTAATCAATCATATGGTCAAAACCGATTGATAATAAAATCGGGGTTACAATATAGCTCGAGGGGTCGTTTGACAACAAATTGCCTAACAAGAATAACATGCTGCTTGAGCGTAGCTGCACTTTACCTTCTTGGCTGGAGAATCGGAAGGTTTTGTTAATTTTATTTTTTCTAGTGTTTCATGGATAGTTGTTTGGTTTTCCATATTGTAATGATAGTTCAAACTATATAAGAACAATAATCAATTTGAACCCTTCAATGGTTCGTAGGGGAACCCTACCTTCTCTTATACGTCCTGCAATTTGTAATTGAATTCCTTTTGTATATGTTTTTTCCAGCTAATTCAATAGCATTTTTTATTGCTTCTACATTTTCATGTCCAATTGGAGTTAATTAATGGAATTAATTATGTGCTTTCGTGTCTAATTTTGAATGTTTTCATGTCCAGGGATGCTGAAGTTCTGAAATCTGTTACTCGAGTTAAACAATTAAAGGAATTGGGTGAGTAGAGCATTTACCATTGCTTAGTTTTCTGATTGAATTATTGTGATCAAATTATAAGTTGTCTGGTTGAGTAAATTATGCAGTCTTTGCTTATGATATAATTGGCACTTGCAAACTATGATTTTAGATTATCCATTTTTTAATCTCTTTTCTGCTTGAGTTTTTTGAGCCGAATTATCACGATTTGCATAATCTTACAAGATCAATAGAAATTGCTTTCTTGGTCTGTTATGACGGTGAATTCCATAGGACTATAAAATTAGAATGAAGATTTTGTCATATTCAGTTCCAGTTTAATGATATTGTGCGCTTTTACATTTTTCAGCTCAACTACTGGATACTGACAGCAGAGTTTTGCCTTTGATCGTCACAGTGTCTGAGAGGGTTGGTTCAGATGCACCAATCAACAGCGAGTACAGTAGTTTAGGGGGGCGTAATTATGGAGCAAAAGGTACATAGATTCGTTTTCCATGATAATACAGAAAGGAAAAGTTTTTCCATTTGTCATTAGTTCTTACCCAAGCACTCTTCTCATATTCTCTCAGGTAGAGCAGCACTTTCTGAAACTCAATGATGCAGGATCATGGATAAAAGATTCAGCTTTGATGCTTTCCACGTGCAAAGAAGTTCCTTGGTACCTGGTAAAATTAGGTTTTGTTCTCCATGTGCTGACATGGGAATTCAAGCGAAAACCTTTAAGAACTTAATTTTTGGAATCTACCAA